TTTGGTTTGCAGATCTGTTTCAGTTGGATGACGATTGATATTTCGCCGAGTCGCCGGGGCTTCGCTTGCACCTCACCTCCATCGCTGGTTGGTAGATCTGGCTTTCCTCTCTCCGGTTCCGATGCTCACTCGCCGGCGTGGGTCATGGTGGGCCACGGGAATGGTTTGGAAGGTGGGTTTGACGTGGAAGGCGGGAGTTGGAGATGATGAGATCATATCGAACCGAAGAAGGAGAAGAAGATGATCGGCGATGGCTGTTGGCTAAAAGGAAGAAGATTGGCTCGGGAGAGAGGGAGAATCAAAGATGGATAAGGAAGAAGAATATTCTGGAGAGGGAGAGAAAGGTCTCAAAGGTTGACCGAAGGAGAAGCCTTTATCGCTTTTTTTTTTTTTTTTGGCATGAAACATTGGGTTTTAAGTTTGGGTTGGGTTTGGATAATTTAGTGGCTCAATTGGGCCTAAGTCTCTAAAATTGAAATGGGTTTTGGGTAATTTGGGTTTGGGTTTGGGTTTTGGTTTGGGTTTTTGGGTTTGAGGCTTTAAACTTTGCATTTCACCCCTCCAACTTTCCATTTCTTCAATTAAGTCCCTCATTTGAAACTCCTTCATCTCCCTTTTCCAATCCTCTTTTGTTCGTAAGCCTAAAAAAGAAAATAAAGACAAAACATATTAGTCAAAATAAAAATAAGACTAAAAATATAAATAAAAATAAAATTCTATTAAAAATTTGAGTTATGACAGTGGTTTGTTTTTTTGTAATGACAGCATGGAGGAAACCTCCTTTTTCTACATTGCTAATGCTACTAATATGCTTGGTTAGAACCCATGGTCTTATTGCTTTCAGAACTAGTTGCTGGTTATTTGCCTTTTTGCCTTGCAAGGAAGGCTCCTGTAGTTTCATTAGTTTTCATAACCAACCTTTGCTCTTGAGCTTGAAACTTGCTTATGAGCTCAGTGATGGTTAGCTCTTTGAGGTCACAAAATTCTTTTATGGCAGAAATCTTGGACTCAAATTTATATGGTACACTAACAATAATCTTTTCCACCACCCTTTGATCTAGAAATTCCTCACCATGAAGTCTAATTCGGTTGATAACATCCATCAATTTATTTGTATGTTGATGGACTATTTCCTTGTCTCCTACATTTTCAGCATCTCAAATTGTCTTTTGAGGGTTACAATCTTGTTACATTTAACCTGAGAATTGCCATCAAACTCTTTCTTAAGAGTATTCCAAGCTTCTTGTGCTGTTATTGCTCCCCTGATACTTGAGAAAATACACTACTAGAAAAATGACGTATACGGACCGACCATATACGGACCGAAAGGTGTCGGTCCGAAAAAATAAATATTCGAACCAATATCGGTCTGAATATATTCAGGTGGGGAAAAATATACTAATGAACATATTCGGACCGGTATCGGTCCGTATATTTCTGGCGGGAGTCACAGTATAGACGTGCCAATAATATTCGGACCGTTTTCGGTCCGAATATTATTTTTGAAAAAAATAAATATTAAATACCAAAAAATATTTCTGGCGGGAGTC